GGGGTCTCCATGGTCAATGAGGAAGAAGTGCTGGCTCTCGGGGAGCAGGGGCAGGGAAGCGAGCTGGAGCACCCCAGGCACCAGGCAGCTGGCCAGCAGCATGGGCCAGGCCTGTGGGTCGCCCAGGAACTCCCTAGGGAGGCAGAGGAGAGAATGGGTTAGAAGCTCCTTGCCAGAGCCCTGCCCCCTGGCTCCCTGTCCCGCTGAAGGTAGGGGCTCTGCATTGCTCTATGCCTCTTCCTTGCCAGCTCTGAGTCAGGATGTCTGTCCAGGTAAAGGCCCAAAAGAGGGCCGAGTGGGGCAGGGTGCTTCTCTCTCATGGTGGCAGCACCATTTCCCCACAGGCTTAGACCCAGCCTCTCCCTGTCTTGAGATAACCAGGCTCTGAGGTTGGCACCTTTCTTCTAATCTCTTTACCACAGGCAGAGATCAGAGGATTTTTAGGGCAGTGAAACTACTCTGTATGATACTATAGTGATGAATACACATCATTCATTATACATGTTTCCAAACCCATAGAATGTACAATACCAAGAGGGAGCCCTGATGTAAACTGGATTTTTGGTGATGATGTATCACTGTAGGTTCACTGATTGTAACAAATGTCCCACTCTGGTGGGAGACATTGATAATGGGGGAGGCTGTGTATGTGTGGGGGGCCGGCGGAGATATGGGAAACCTCGGTGCCTTCCTTTCAATTGTGCTATAAACCTAAAACTGCTCTAATAAAATAAAATCTTTTTAAAAAGTAGGAATAAATAGTAGACAAAATATTTGAACAGATTCTTCACAATAGGTGATAGATGAATGGCCATGCTGAACAGATAAAAAGGTGAGTGAGTCATCAGGGAAATAACCACAATTAAACCACAATGAGACACCATTATGCACTCACTAGAAGGACTAAATTAAAAAGACTGACAGTACCAGTGCTGATGAGAACTTGGAGCACCTGGAATTCTCATACATTGCTAGTGGAAATGTCCAACAGTGTAATCACTTTAGAAAACAGTTTCTTCTACAGCTAAGCATACTTACATTATTTCAGCAATTCATTTACCCAAAAGAAATGAAAACATATGTCTACACAACAATCTGTGCAGCATGTTCACAGCAGTTTTATTCATGATGGCCAAGAATAAAAAATAGCCCAAATGTCCAACAGGTAAATCGATAAACGAATTATGGTATAGCTATACAATGAAATACTATTTGGAAACACGAAGGAATATATACTAATATATGTGACAACATACATGAATCTCAAAAAATTTATCTGGAGCAAAGCCAGACACAAATACATACATATAGTATGGAATTACATCAAATTCTAAAGAAGGCAAATCCGATGTAAGTGATAGAAAGCAGGTCAGTGGTTGTTTGGGACTGGGGGTGGGGTGGGTTATTGACTGCAAAGAGGCATGAGGGAGATTTTGGAGTGATCTGAATAAATGTTCTACCTTGATTGTGGTGGTTTGGTGGTTTCATGGGTGGATAAATCTGTCAAAACTCATCAAATGTATACTTGATATGGATACATTTACTATATGTAAATTATACCTCAATAAAGTTGATCCTTTAAAGAAAACCCTTTTCTGATCATGCCCCTCTCAAACTAGGTCAGCTCCCCTGGCCCCCCCACACACACACACACACTCTCTCTCTTCACAACCTATATTTTTTCCTCCACTGCATTTCCCCAAATTTGTAGCTATGTCTGTATTGGTCTCCTGTTAGTTGACTGCCTCTAGATGCGGCGCACCAAGAGGTCCCGTATTCCATCTGTCTGGCTCACCACTATTGCTAAGCACCTGGCACCATGCCTAGATACAGTAGGTGCTCATTTAATAAGTACCTACTCATTAAACAAACAAATGCAAGAGCTAGTGAATGGAGAGGAAGCAAAGAGAAGAACAGCAGCTGGATCTGGGCCCCAGCCACACCTGTGGAACTACAGCTCTGTGGACCGGATGACCTCTGGGCTCCTCCACATGGGGCCCTGGCTCTGCCCAGGAAAGTTGAGTCTGTGCAATTCCTCAGAGATCTCCAGGAAGGTCTTGCCTTTGGTCTCAGGGAGGAAGAAACCTGTGTAGATGGCCCCACAGACACAGACACCGAGGAAAGGCACATAGAAGAAGTGGGACAATCCCTCCTGTAGGATGAAAGAGACGCTGAGACCTGGTGTGGTCCCATTCAGCCCCCAGACATAAGGCCCCATAACAGGTCATGATGGGGGACTTGTCCCTCTTTGCTTAGATAAGCCCCACCCGCTTCAGTCTCAGTCTCCTTGGATGGACGCCTCCCGCTGGGGTTTTCATGCTGACAGGGACACAACCTAAGGCAGCAATCCCCCCCCCAGGGGGAGGGGACAGGCCTACCATGAGGAAGGGGAACCCCAGCCAGACCAGAAAGAGCATGGTCCACATGAGCGCCCCGCAGACCATGTAAGCAGCAGGCCGGGCCGTCTGGTCAAACAGCTCTGTGGCCAGGATTCCTGTCACTCCGGCTGGAAGGAGAGGCAGGTACAAGGGGCTGCCAGCAAGGGCTCCCTGCCCTACCTTTTCCCCACTTTGCCCCAGGTGTGGGAGTGGGGGTCCCTGGTGTTCTCCTTCCAAAAGACTTGGTACAGATAGGGGTGGGGTCACTCAGGTGACATTGCATTCACATCTACCCATCCTTCCCCCAGATGTCCATGCTCTTTCAGCAAGTCCCAAAGCCCAGAGCCCCTTGGGCCCACTCACCAGGGCCGATGCCAAAGCTGAGGATGAAGGCAAAGATGCAGGACATGGCCAGGTAGGGCATCCACGGGAAGGAGCTCTGCAGCAGAGGGGTGGGGTGAGGTGGCGATCAGCCAGCAACCAGCCACCCACCCCACACCCTGCCCCATACCTGCAGGCACAGGGCCGCTGTGAAGACACTCCCCCAGCAGGTCATCAGGGAGTATCCCCCCATGAGCAGCACCCGCCGACCCACTCTCTCAATGACCACACACTGCAAAGGAAAGGGGCCCTCAGTAACTGGCCTGGGCACCTGGGCCATGGTCCCCTTGGTTTCCCTGGGGGGTGGGGGGTGGGGCAGTGGGGAGTGGCCTCTTGAAGAAGCTGGTGGCAGGGCAAGGAGCCGTTTATTGCTTCAGGAGATTAAGATACATAATTTCCCAGAGGTCACTCAACTTCAGTTTCCTCATCTCAAAATAGTGGTTGAGTGCTCAGCAAACAGTAAGTGCTCAATAAATGCTCACTAACTTGCTGCATTTTAACAGAGTGACCTGGAGTGGGAAATGGCTTAAGGCAGGGGACTCAAGTCCTCAGGGTGTCAGCACCCCAGAGCCCCCCTGCTGGGCTTGGGGAGGAGCTGCCCAGAGCCAGACTCACACTGATGAATGCTGTGAGCAGCTCACAGCACCCAGTCCCGACGATGGCGTACTGGACCTTGTCCTCGGGAACTCCTGCCTCACGGAACACGGAGGAGGCATAGGCGTATATCTGGGAAGGCAGGTGCAGGGTCAGTTCTGGGGCATTGATTCCTGCAACCTCCAGTGGCTCCCAGGGGCCTGCAGCACACAGCCCCCACACCCAGGGCACGGGGCGCGGCAGGGCCCTTACCGAGTCATTTCCGCAGAGCTCCATGGCACTGCCCAGGACCACGAGACTAATCACCTGCCTCCGGAAGGTGCCATCCTTAAACAGCTCCCAGGGGCGCCGTGCGCGCCGGCCCCGGCAGGCAGCACGTTCCTCCTCCAGCTCGGCCAGTTCCACCATCACCTCTGTGGTGCCCCGCAGCCGCTGCAGGGCTGGGGCAGAAGAGGAGGTGCTGAGGTCTCCTTCCCCCAGCCCTTCATTGGTCCCCCACAGTGAGCTTCCCACCCCCTACTCCATTCTCTCTCTCTGGGCCTCCATGGTCAGATGGGGTGATCTTCCTGGCCCTGTTGTTTCACAGCATCATGGACCAGTAAAGGCTTTAGAAACTCAGGGTTCTGTGGACCATCGGACAGGACACAACAATTGGTAAATTGCCACCATCCTCCCCAATTCTTCACCCCTCCCTGTATCCATGCCCTTTTCTATGTGATTTCGAAGTTGCTTCCACTAAAGGGGCAAGTATACATCCCTTGGTGCTGGGCTCCCCCACGTGACTTTCTCTGACCAATAAGATGAGTCTCTAGGGAGAGCATGCCACCCGTTCCAGCCCAGACCTTACTTGGCCTTGCTCATTTATGTTGGCTCTTCTGCCATCATCATTAAAACGTACTGGGCTAACCCACTGGTCCCAGGAGGAGCAGAGATGGCCCAGCTGGTACCATCCTAGTTCAGCCGATGCCCAACTGACTTGCCTGAGCGACCAAGAGGAGCAGAGCCACCAGCCTACATCGGCCAACCCCAGAGAATTCATGGAGGCTTGAGCTAAGCAGTTGCTTCTTTTGTTGGCCATGGAGATGCTGTGATTGCTAGGCAGCAATAAAAAACTGATCAATGAACTCGTACCAGGAGTGGGTGCTACCATAACTGGGACCTGTCATCCATGGCACTTGTTCCAAAACCAGGCAGAGGGCAGTGAGGAGGCTGGAAAAACGACAGGCCGTGTATGTAGGGCAGTAGCGTGGAAGAAAGAAAATAGACCTAATGAACTTCTGGACTTGGACAAAGAGACCTCCATGCATTGACAGCATGAACTGGCTGCTTTTAGCTGAGTATTCTAAGTTTACTATAAAAAAGACATGAGTAAGAAAAAGACCTTCAGAGAGAACAAAATTTAATTAAATTTAGCTCATTCCAAACTTGCTAGGTTAATCTAACAAAAACCAGAAGCAAACCTTTTCTCATCTCTAAACTCTCCAGATAGCAGAGTCCCAAATTAAGGTACAGTCTGAGAACAAAGATTAAATCCAGAGCCTACCAGTGAACCGTAGACTCAGGGTAAAGATCAAATCAGGGTGTGGCTTAAGGTAGTGCCTCACAGACCCTCATGGCTGGAAAAACAGGCATTATGAAAACTTAAGGGTGTTGGTCCACAGCAACCTGATATGCCCCCAAATCCCAGTAATTAGGTCTCAGAAGAGAAGCATATCTCAGAAAGAATTGTGAATGTGGCTTTTTGGTATATAAATCAAATACATAGAAAATTCACATCCTTTTTAAGAAAACTGTATTGACAAAAGTTCTCCCAGCCTGGATGAAAGGAGGCACTTTGAAAGGTAAAGACTTCTGTGCCCCAACTTTCTATAGGTACATTTCCAATGCCCTCTTCAGAAGATGTCAAGGAAGCTAATGGAAAAGGACATCTCAGAGGGCAGAAGCAAGAACCTGGGGAGCCCCTCCCAGGGAGCCAAGGAACTTCCAGGGCTTCATCGGGGAACATTCCCCATCCTCAAAGCACGGGAATCTGGCAGTGTTTTCCTAGGGGCATTTCAGCATTGTTATGGATCAGTGACTGCTTTCTGCTTCCTTGTCTCTTCTTTGAAAGAAGGGTAAATTCTGGTTACGCTGTCCCACTTTCACCATTGAGTATGGAACGTGCAGAAGACTTGTATTTCTAGCTCCTAGGTCTCCAGATCAAAAGCAGGCACACACAGACTTGATGTGACCTTGAGATCCTGGACTTCAAGCCTGGTGCCATGATTGGATGAAACTTTGGGGGGTCCCGGATGGCACTGAGAGTGATTTACACAGACAGGGGAGGGACATGAATAATAATTGTGGCCATGATGGCAAGCTGAGAAGAGTACATTAGTGGGCCCTGTCTTCACCCTCCCTAAATCTATGCCTTTTGCCATGTGAGAGGATATGACATCAATTTTCCCATCCTGTAACTTTGGGTCCAGTAACATGACTCTCTTAGGTCAATGGGATATTAAGGGACATAAGGGGCCAAAGGTTTGGAAAGTTCTTATACAATTGGATTTGCTTTCTTGTGCCTCTGTCATCACTGTAATAAGAACATTCCTGGGCTAGTTGGTTGGTACCAAGAGTGAGAGCAGAGGCATGTGCAGCAGAGCTCAACTGCTCCAGCTCAGACCAGCCTGGACTGGCCAAACCCCAGCTGACCTTTACACCATGAGTCAGCCCAGCTAAAATCAGCAGAGTCATGCAGCCAGCTCAGCAAGTAAATGAGTAGAAGATGCAGTAAATGATTGCTGTTTTAAGCCAGACATCTTGGGATTGTTCCTTGGGTATCATTATTGTGGTCATAGCTAATGGATAAACACCCAGTTGGCATTGGCCCTGTGAGCGCTTCTTACACAGTGTTTCATCTTGCACATGCATAGGGGGCTCTTTCTCTGACCTCCCTGGGGGTTCCTGGGTGGCAAAGGCGAGGTCTGCTCCATCCCACTGCCCTGGTGCTCAGAACAGCCCCTTGAAGGGATCTATGGATGGCACAAAGAGAGAGACAACTTTTCCCTGATAAATAAAACTCAAGAAATGGGGACCCACCTGCTCTGGGCAGATGTGTCCCTTGGTGAAGGGTGGTTTGGAGAACTGAGGTCAGAGACTCACCTGCTAGGCAGGTCGCACGGTCTCCACAGTCAATGAGGAGGTAGCGTGGGCTCTCAGGGAGCAGGGGCAGGGAAGCGAGCTGGAGCACCCCGGGCACCAGGCAGCTGGCCAGTAGCAGGGGCCAGGCTTGTGGGCCACCCAGGAGCTCCCTGGGGGGCAGAGGAGAGAATAGGCCAGAAGCCTCCTTGCCTGCCCCCTATCCTCCTGCCTCCCACTCCCCTGTCCTTTATCCCCTACGCCTGTCCCCTGCCTTTTGCCTGACTGCTCTCCTGTGACACCAAGATCCCTCCCACTTAGGTAGGGACCCAAGATAGGGCAGGGCTGTAGCCCCACCTCATCCCTAGCAACTCCTCTTACCAGGGCTCCAGGCTCTGCCTCCTCCTCCCCGTCCTGGATGACCAGGACATGCTCCCCTTTAAAAGCCCAGACCTTCACCCTCTTCTCTGTCAAGACCTGCTTTCTGCTTCCTGCTTTGGAGAGGATGGAAAAGTGTGATTCACACTAAAGTGTGGCTGACTGATACCAGTTTTGTGTATTGTCCAGATGGAAATGGACAGGTTTCAATGCCTTAATATAAAGAAACAGTGCCTTAATCTACTTGGTGGGTAGGGGAGAAATTTAGGCACAGAAGGGCTTTCACTGGTACACCTCAAATCACAGTGGGGGAGGAGGGTGCTTACCTGAGACTGACCACCTGACCCATCACAATCCCCAGGGCGGTGAAGATGGCTGAGGTCATGGCCACAGTTCCACGGAGCTCCTTGGGCGCGCTCTCCCCCAGGTACATGGGCTGGATGTTCATGCTCACACCTGGATGTTTGCATAGAAAAGACAGTCAACCATCAGGCTGGATCCCCTGTAGTACCTGGACTTGCCTCCCCTGCCACCTTGGCACCACATCTAATGGATCCTGGCACTGAGTGCTGCTCCCTCACCCCATATGCTTGGAGGGGTCCCTCCCCATCTACTGTAGGGCCAGCAGGACTCCAGGTCCACCCCCCAGGACTTCTGAGAGAGAAGTCTTTCTCAGATTAGCTCCTATCCTGTTCCATTACCATAGTCCCACCGTGGTCATCAAATCTTTCTAGACCTTGTCACTGGGATGAGGGTAAAGGGCTCTGAGGAACTGAGTGGGCAATGAGAGAAGGGCAAGATGGCATCTGGATGCCCATCAGCTCTCACATCAATGCTTTCATTGACCAGTACTGCTGTCAGTCCTCACTTCATCCCAACTTCCCCAGGGAAGCACCTGGCACCCAGGCAGCCAGTGGAAAAACAGAACTGGACAGCACCCCCACTGCCCACCCCAGATGGTGACAGCTGGCAAAAGCTAGGAGGCCACAGTAATTGGGCATCATCTACTTGGGAATACCGCAGGGAGTGTTGCTCTACCCCCTACCTGACCTGAGATCAGGAAACAGCTCTCATCAAAGTCCTGCCTCTCTAAGCACTGGGTGAAGGGAGCTAGGGAAAAGGTGGGTGCACTGATTGCCAAAAAGTCTCAGAGGTACCCCTGTTCTTCCTATAAATGTGTAGGGAAGGGTTCTTTCTGTGCTGGGTCCTTGGAGCACAAAGTCTGGCCTAGTTCCTTTTCCCTGGAGTGTGGACTGTTCTTAGTGACTCACTTCTTACAAGTAGACTGGCAAAACTGATGGTGTATGGCTTCTGAGATTAGGACATAAAAAGCATTGGGGGCCGGCCGAGTGGCGCATTGGTTAAGAACTGGCTTGGGACGCCAGAGGGCCCCGGTTCGGATCCCACATATGAGGGACAGTGACACTGCCCTCCACAGCTAAGATGCTGAACAACAGCTCAACCTGGAGCTGGGCTGCCGTGAGTCACCGGGGACGGCGTAGGCTGCAGCCCCTGCTGCAGTGGGTTGCCATGGGCTACCATATGTAGCCAGCAGCCAGCGTGAGCGGGCAGCAGCCACAGTGAGCAACCGTCCAGAAGCCGGCGACTGACCTGCCTCGCCCGGGAAGAGCTCAATGGTGGTGCCAACTTGGGCCAGTGAAGCAACGTCCTGCACAACTAGACTGAAGAACAAAAGGACAGCAGCTTGTCTGTTCCCCTTCCCCCAATTCCCCAGCACTGTTCCCATCTCCCCAATTCCCCAATTAAAAATAAAAAAAAAGCATTGGGACTTCCTCCTTGTGCACACACACTTGTGCTCTTTCTCTCTCTCTAATCACTTACTCTGGAGGAAACCAGCTGGCATTTGGTGAAAGAGACACACAGGCTGAGGAGCTGAGGCCTGTTAACAGCACATGAGGGCACCATCTTGGAAGCAGATCCTACAGCCTCTGCCAACCCCTCAGAGGACTCCAGCCCTGCCTGGCAGTTCGATCACAGCCTTATAAGAAATACCGAGCCAGAATCACCCAGCTAAGACACTGCCAGGTCCTGAACCACAGAAACTGTTAGATAATAAATATTCGTGGTTTTAAGCCACTAAGTTTTTGCATATTTTGTTTCACAGGAATAGATAATTAATATAGACATTGACACCTGGCTGTATAAACAGTAGGGAGTCAATGGGCCGGCCGAGTGGCGCATTGGTTAAGAGTTGGCTTGGGACGCCAGAGTGCCCCGGTTCAGATCCCACATGAGGGCCAGTGATGCTGCGCCCTCTACAGCTAAGACGGTGAACAACAGTTCGACCTGGAGCTGGGCTGCTGTGAGTCGCTGGCAATGGTGTAGGTTGCAGTGGGGCTGGTTGGCAGTGGGCGTGAGCTTTTGTGAGTTGCCGTGAGCTGCCATTAGCAGCCGTCCAGTGGCTGGTGAGTGACTGTCTCACCCAGGAAGAGCACAATGATAATACCAACATGGGCCAGTGAAGCGACTTCGTCTACAACTAGACTAAAGGACAAAAAGGACAGCAGCTTGTCTGTTCCCCTTCCCTGATTCCCCAATGCTGTTCCCCTCCCCCAACTCCCCAATAAAATCTTTTAAAAATAAAAACAGTAGGGAGTCAAAATGGGGTTTGTTGATGTGAGCCCCTAAAAGCTCAGATGGATGTGCTCAAAATTCTGCTCCCTCACATGACAAGCCCCAGAAACTGAGGAGTCCCTAACAGGCTATTCTGACTCTGTAGAGAAGATCAGAGAACTCATCCTAGATGCCTTTACACCTTGGCTGCCAGGAAGCTCATGACTTAGAGTGTTGTTCAAACACAGGACCTCTGTTAGTGCAGGTTTGAGGATGTTTGTCCTCACACTCCTGCACAACTATTGCATTTTTCTACATCCACTTTAAATGTCTAGTTATACAAGTTTTTAAAGATAAACCACATTTAATCATTTTGCAAAGAAAAACAAAGGCAGGCATGAATAAAAAGTAAATCAATGGATAAAGAAGATAAATGAAGGGAATAAAGGGAATAAATGAATGAGTAGGACTGGAGAGGCAGGATGAGTGAGGCATCCTGCTCCCATACCCGCACTGATGCCCATGAGCAGCCGTCCCAGCATGATCATCTCGAAGGAACCTGCTCTGCGGCTAGAGCCAAACAGGATCGCTGCAGCCACCACAAAGATGTTGTTCACCAGGAGGGACTTCTTCCTTGGGGGAAATGGAACAAGGCAAGAGGGCTCAGGTCAGTCCAGAGGGACTATCCATGAGGGCACCTCTTTGCAACTCCAGCCAGCCCTGATCAGACCTGTGTGCGTGAATTGTGTCAAGGAGCCTAAGCAACATGAATGGATATGACCACTAGCCATTGTACATGGGTTCACTCGAGATATGCCCTGAGAGACATACGCCCACTCCCCTCTCCCAACATACCCCAAATCATTCTCCTTTCTGCCTGTGCCACAGCTTGAAATGACAGAACTTACGTTTTATGGCTTTATCCCTGAAAATTAAGCACTACTCTCCTCAAACTCTTATAAAACGAAAGGCTTAATATCTGATTTCTCAGTTGCAATAAAACCCTAGGGAGGAAGAACAGGGACTTCTGGAGTGAGGGAAGGGATGCATGGAAATCCAAGTATAGTCTCCTCACATTTTCCTCCATGTATTACAGAGTCATTTCTCAGAACCTTCAGGATGGCTGGATGGCCCCTCCTAGTTCAGTGGGACAGACTGCAAACCAGGAAGGGGACAATGGAAATGTCAGCTGCCCCACCATAATGAAGCATCAGCTCTGGGCTCCTGATATTGAGTTCAGAAGTGCTGTCAGGCAGGTCACTCAGCGAACCCACTGTAGACCACACAGCTCACTGAACTGACAGGGAAACTGGATCCCAGAGGCCAGTGCTCTGCCCAAAGTCAACAGCACATTGGTGATAGAATATGAGCAAAGCTTAGATCTCCTGCATCTAGAGAATGGAGAATGACAGTAGATTATAACAAACTGGATCCAGCAGTAACTCCAATTGTAACTGATCTGCCATGAATGGCTTCCTCACTGGTATAAATAATAAAGTACTTTGAATGTGGCTATTTATCTGATGAATGCATTTTGCTACATGTCAATACACAGACACCAGAAAAACTTAGCTTTCACCTGGCAGGGACACTATTACACCTTTACCGACCTGCCTAAAGGATACAGCAGCTTTCCAGCTCTGGGCCACAATCTATTCCACAGGGAATCCTGCTGGCCCCACGACTTTGATAACTTGACATTGAAAGGATATAGAGAAGAGGAAGATGCAAGCTCACTAGATATCTTGGTAAGGTACCAAGATAAGAAGATAAAATGGTAAGAATGACAAAGAATGGAAGCTTAACAATGAGAGAGTTGCCACATTAATGAAGTATCTGAGGTCCAATGGACTAAGATATGTCAGCATATTTCTTCCAAAGTGCATGACAAATTGCTGCCCTTCCTCTAAGAAGGATGACCATGTCTCAGAGGGCTTCTTTTCATTTTGCAAGCTGCATGTACCACGTTGGGTGTTGTGATTGGACACATTTTCCAATCAAATCCAGGTGATTTGAAAACCTGGCAGCTCTGAGTGGAGCTAAGCAAGGGGAGTATTCTTTAGTGGGTCCATTCAAGGTGCAGAGTTCTTCCACTCAACTCTTTGGACCTAGGAGATCCTGTGGTGCTTAAAGTATCTGTGGCAGTTGCCTAAAAGGAGAATAACAAGCAAGACGGAGGATCTGGGAGAAAAGCTACTCTACTTCAGCAAATGACTGTCCTCTTGGAATAGTTCCTCCCTTGTCACTAGGCCCTTGGGGGCATTAACACCAGACTGGGACACCTGGTGGCCATGTGTCCATCATGACCTGGGTGCCATATAACACTCCTATGCTAAGGCTGAGTGTGTCTATAGCACTCCATCACTAAACAGAAGTGGTATACACAAAACTTTCCCCATGTGGGTCCCAAAAATTTCCATGAGTGGGTTACATCAGCAGGCCTACTCGACCATACTGCCACCCTTCGCCCAAGGCACACCCAAGGCCTCTTGTCTTTAGTTTAAAACAAAACAAAGCTTGACCGTGGTTTGCAGATGGTTGCATGCATAAGTCGGTTCTGCCAGAAAGGTAGAGCTATGGCATTACAGCCCACTCAAAAGTGACCCTAAACAATATTAGAAGAGTTAAATCCTTCCTGTAGACAGAATCTTGAGCATGGAATTTGGGTTGGATAGTCAAAGTCTTAAATGGAGCAGAATTTGAAGACTGGTTTCAAGGGGGTGTAAGGGAAGGGTAAACATATGAATCTTACAGAATTGGCCCAGACCCTGAATATACACATGTCCATGTTTCTACTCACCAGAAGCCCCCTGCCACTGCAGAAGCAGCCTTTCATAATCAGGGGGACAGGATGGCCCCCTGTGATGGCACTTAGCTGTCTTCTTCAGTCAGCCCAGTGCTCGCTCCCTAGGCTCATAGCAAAGCAAGTAGGGTCACAAGTACAGAAAATGTACATGAAATCGAGAACAGGGGCTTCCTGTCACCAAGCTGACTAAACACCTTGTCACACTACACGGCCAACCCTACTGCCAGAAATGGCAACACATGTCACAGCTCCAGTCAGCTATTAGGCAGAAGATGAACTCCACTAGATCCCTGCCTTAGGGATGGGACAGTAATTGGTTATCACTGGAATAGGCATCTGTGCTGAATTTGTATCTTCAGTTCCTTCCCTTCATGCTTTGCCAGTGTATCATCTAGGGACTCTATACCAGGTGTCATTAGATATTTAGGAACAGCTATTATTACCTCCTTCTTCTTTGCAGCAAGAGCCTCAGTTTGTTTTGGAATGTGCTCTTACCCCTTATGGTTCAGCTATAAACCCAATAATCTAACCTAGTCTTGGTGATTCCATTCTTAGTGCTGGGCAATGAGACATGGTACCTACTGTAAAGTCTTTTTTTTTCTGATATAAAGCATAGGTCAGGAAGAAATCCCCTTTCTGTTGGATGATGTTGCATCTGAGTGAGGCACTGTTGTAGCTTTCTAGTTACCAGTCTGAGGACACACAGGCTGACACACAGTGGAACTGGCAGCCAAGGAAATCTCAGAGGAACAGATCTTGGGTACTGACATAACCATGAAGTCACCCACCTATAGACTTCTTGTGTGAGATAAAGGATCTCCCATTGTTTTGGTCACCTGAGTCCTGGTTTTCTGTTATCTGCAGTTGAAGACATCCTAACAGATAACACCTGTTAAATACACAAACATGACACCCATGCATCCAACAAAGGAAGTTGCATCAGTGAAAGAGGACGGTGGGTGACAATGGAACTCATTATTGCATTAGGAATGTCATCATCCAGAAGCAGATGACCTCAGAGTGTAATAATTTGCTGAAGATCCCACCCTATCAGGACCACCAAGCCCACTCAAGAATGAAGATTTGGGTCACCCCAATGAGCAAAGAGCCTCAACCTTAGGAAAGTGCTGACTCAAAGCAAGAATGGAAAACTGGAGGATGGAAGTAACCAATGCAAGCAACAGCTTGTGACCAGTTCCAGAACCAATGAGTAGAACCTCTACCTGTGTTTCAGGCTTTCTGTGTCATGTGCTTTAAAATAAATTCATTCACTACTTTTCTTTTCCTTGATTAGTTTCCCCCTACTCTTTCTTCTTCTTCCCTCCTCCTATGGGGTGTCTTGATTACAGCTAAATTTACCATTAAGTGTATATAGATTGCTGAATATCAAGCGGTTAATTGCAGGGCTGGCAGAATGATCATCACATGGAAATCTTGCACTCAAAAAGAATACCCCCAGGTGCTGGCTGAGTGGTTCAGTTGGTTAAGAGTTGGCTTGCGGATGCGAGCTCTGAGCAGCAGGGCCAGCAGTTCGGTTCCCACATGGGCCAGTGACACTGCGCCCTCTACAGCTAAGATGGTGAACAACAGCTCAACCTGGAGCTGGGCTGCCGTGAGTCACCGGTGACGGTGTGGGCTGCAGCCCCTGCTGCAGTGGGCTGCTGTGAGCTACCATGAGGGACTGGCAGCCAATGTGAGCACCAGCAGCCGGAGTGAACTGCTGTGAGTCACCGTAAGCAGCTGTCCAATGGCTGGCGAGCGACTGCCTCACCCGGGAAGAGCGCAATGATAATACCAACATGGGCCAGTGAAGCGACGTCCTCCACAACTAGACTGAAGAACAAAAGGACAGCAACTTATCTGTTCCCCTCCCCCGATTCCCCAATAAAATCTTTAAAAAAACAACAAAAAAGAATACCTCCTTTATATCAGCCCTGGTGGCTGTAACAAGACAATGCTCTAGTGGTCTCACTTAGGGAGAGGTGAATACATATGCTGGTGCATATGATGGGATGGTTGAGTAATGTCAGGAGGGGGCACGTTTGGAGCTGACTATATGGAAGAAAGGTGTCTATGTATGCTGAGTGGCCAGCAAAGCGGTGGACTGTGGTAGCCATTTGTTTTTTCTGCCTGCCAATGCTTCTCTCCCCTCCTTCACAGGTGTAGGCATGTGACACAAGATGGACCAATAACAACCCGTTTTCTTGGATTCTGAATCTTGAATGAAGACATTGGAGATAGAATGTGGTTGGAGCTGATGCATGAAGTCATCTTCCCCAGGAGGAAAGTTCAAAGGTCTGGCTGTTGAGTTCCTCAGCACCACCTTGGGTTCTGCCCTTCTCAAGGCCTGGCTTTTGAGCACTTCCTTTCATTTTGTGAGCTGCTCCAGTATCTTTCCAGTTCTTACAATTTTCAATTAAGTCAGATTCTGTCTTGTTTACAACCCAAGAACTGCATCAGTTGGATGCAAAGGGGGAAATGAAGCCCAGAGAGAAAACATTTGTTTGTAGTCAAATAACATGACATGGAACTAAAAACTAGTCCTCCCTCCCTCATAGCACAGGACTCTCCCCTCTACCAAATCTGCTTGGAACCCTGACTCTGGTGAAACTACAGGCAGAGTAGGAGGTTGGGTAGGGAGCTGACCTGGGCTGGGGCCTACCAGGCATCTTCCTTCTCCTACATTCTTCAGCCTACAGAATGGGGTGCCCCTCTTGAAGGGCATTCAGGGGTACATAGGAAGCACTTACCTTCCCAGCATGATGGCAAAGGGCCCTGCAAGCAGTGCTCCAAGGAGGCCCCCCAGGGGGTACAGAGACACGATGAGGGACCACACAAGCAGAACCAGGTGGTCAGGCAGTGGCCAGCCAGTTCGCACCCACCACGTCTCATTGGTGAATTCCTGAATGTGCTGTGGACACAGATGCCAGTCAGCCTCCACAGGATAGGCCTTTTCTCCCACAGAGTTCTGCCTCTGCAGAGCAGACATCAGGTCTCCTGAGTAATATGAATAATACTATCCCCCTGCCATGGGCAGAGCAAATTTGCCTAAGCCCTTACCATGTGCAGGTCTCTGTGCTGGTCTCTTTCACCCATGGCATCTCCTAGAGCCCAGGGCTAGGCAGTCTCTGTTCACCTCTCTCAGTCACTATCCCCGCTGTCCTCCCTGCTTTGGTCCCAGAAAGCCACCTGCATGGCCCACATCAGTGAGCTCCCTTGCTGACTGGCTTTGTTAGAACTGACCATTGGTGAGCAGGGCATCAGAAGAGGGCATCAGTGGGAAGCATGAAGGATATTTGTTCCCAGGGCTCCCTTTCTGGAGGTCACCTCAGGCTGGCTGCAGCATTCAACCAAATGTCACTCACTACTCCTCTCAAGGGGGCCTATGCCACATGGCCCTTCCACTTGTCCCTTTGGGGGTAGGAGTAGTAATAACTCCAGCACTACTAAATCAGCATTACTATTACTGCATTCCCACCTTGTGTGTTCTCTATGCCACCCTCAATCATTTGTAAATCATTCTTTGTGGTATCCAAACCTACCTGACTTATCTGGAATATGTTGTGCATTTCCTTGGGATCCCAACTGTGACAAGCCCTGGGAAGTACTAGTCTGTCAGACACACATTACTCTGGTCATTTTTAAGATTGGGAATTGGGCCCAAGGAGGTAAAATGAGTTATCCACTGCCTCAGCCACAGGTCAGGGCTGCTGCCAGGTAGTTTAGATACCCCAGGACCCCAGCCTCCAGACTGCCACTCAGGAAAGTTAATGGAGGCCATGTGGTTAGGGATAATTGCTCATGGGAAAGACCCACATACCCACCCTCCCTTGGTTAGAAATGAAATGTCAGTGTCTGGCTGGTCTCAGGCCTCTTAACTGAATGTGAGGGAAGGCAATAGGTTTAAGTGTTGGGCCAGCTCTCTCCTGCCCAGGCCAGCTCAGGGTAATTAATGGTTGTCAGCTTGGTGCTTGCTAGGTCCCTCTTGGAGAAAGACATGTCCAGAGGAGCTGGCCTTGGCTGGAACTCCTCAAGAGTGACCACTCAGGGGCTGGCCAAGTGGCGCGTTAGTTAGGAGTTGGCTTGGGATGCCAGCTCTGAGAAGCAGGGCCCTGGTTCGGATTCCACATGAGGGCCAGTGATGCTGTGCCCTCTACAGCTAAGATGGTGAACAACAGCTCAACCTGGAGCTGGGCTGCCGTGAGTCACCGGCAATGGCATAGGCTGCAGTGGGGCTGGCTGGCAGTGGGCGTGAGCTTTCATGAGCTGCCATGAGCTGCCATGAGCAACCGTCCAATGGCCAGCGAGCGACTGCCTCACCCGGGAAGAGTGCAATGATCATAACACCAACATGGGCCAGTGAAGCGACGTCCTCCACAACTAGATGAAGAACAGAAGAATAGCAACTTGTCTGTTCCCCTCCCCTGATTCCCCAACGCTGTTCCCCTTCCCCAATTCCCCAGTTAAAAAAATTTTTTTTAATTAAAATATAGAAAAAGAGTGACCACTGAGAGTGGTAGGGGAGCCCCTGAGACCAAGAAAAGTCCCATTTTGGGGGGTTAGTGATAGCCCACAGGAGATAAGACCTGAGAGTACCCTGCTGTGGATGGGTCCCTCTCCAGCCATTAAGTTTGCACTGAAGTGGGCAATCACATCCTTGTTGAATGAACAAATAAATATACAAATGCAGTTAGCTTAGGCCTCCATTTCTAAACCTTTCATTTCATCCTTTCTTTAAGGGGCTGGGCTGCTATAATTGTTTCTGCCCAGAATGTGCTCCCACCCAAGGCTTCTGCTACCCATTAACACAACTTGGAGAAGTTCCCTCCTATTGTCAATTATAAAAGTGATCACCTGACCCAGACCTGGCCAATAGGCGTGCTCCACGCTCCTGACCATATGATTGGTCTAGGGGTGGGCATGTGATTCAACCCAGCCAATCAGACTCTTCCTAGACCTTCTTAAGGTAGCTACTGAGGGGAGGACTTTTATTTGGGGGTTTCCAGCTGGCAGCTGCTGTCTTGTCACTAGGTAGAGGATGAGGCCAGGCAGGTACAGGAGAGCCCCAGTTTCATCCTGGGACTTGGTTCCTGCAGCTTATCCCCCAACACAGTGCACAGCCCCACATCCTTCCCAGCTACAGGACAGGACACTTGCCCTTCTTACTTAAGCTAAGTTAGAGGTGGCTTCTATCACTGGGGCTCAAAGATTCATTTTTTTCCACAGGCCCTCACTGAACATTGACAGGGGCCAGGCCAGCATCAGATGCTAGAGATTCACAGGTGATTCAACACTGACAGCAAACCAGCAGGAAGATGAGACGGACCCAAAACAACCAACACACAATCCACGTGGTGACAGCCCACACCATGTGTTGGGGAGGGAGGGGTGACTTCCAGCTGGGGGGTGTTGAAGGAAGGCTTCAGGAAGGTGATGGCATTTGGGTGGTTCTTGAGGAGATTCTGCAGGTGGGGTAGAGAGGGCATCCCAGTAGAAAGAGGGTTTGAGGAAGGCTGTGTGCATTCAGTGTGGCTAGGGGAATGAAGGTGGGAGACAGGTTGACCCCAGGAGGTCTTGGGCTTCCGGTGGATGAGTCTGTCCTTATTCCCATAACTAGTGGGAAGCCACACAATATTTCTGGGCAGGGAAGTGGCCTGATCAAACTTGAGAGGATCTAGAAGGGGAGAGGCTAAAGGCAGGGAGGCCATTGAGGAAGTTGGGTCAACAATCCAGACAGGAGAGATGAGGCTTGAACTGGCATTCTGGCAGAGACACGGGGAGAAATGGCTGGATGCTAGAGATAGTTAGGAAGAATTTGATGTCTGAGAGAGGGAGGGCAGAGTCAAGGTTCACCCCTAGTCACTGGGTAGACCGTGGAGTCATCTGCTGACATCAAGGACTCAAGAGGGGTGCAGGTTCAGGAGAGGATGTAGAGCTGGACCTATAGGACATCCCCGTGAAGGTGGACCTGTGGGAGAAAACTCCACCAAGTGGATGCGGGCCTGAAGCCCCACAGCAGGCAGCTGTCAGCCCTCACCCAGCCACCACTCAGCTAGTGACAGTGGGCACAGAGGGTACATACCACAGTCGGGGCATTGATGATGGAGAGGTTGTAGCCAAATTGAAAAGTCCCACCAATGCCAGCTGCACAGATGGTCAGGAACAGGACCCTGCCTTGAATCTAAGGAGAGAGGGGAGGACACAGAGTGATTGATAACAGCCTCCACCTCCCTCCCAGGACCAGAACCTACTAATCATAGCACTGCAATCTGTTTGAACCAGGCAATGAGAGGAAATTGAGGCACAGAGGAGTGACCTAGGTTGCACGGCTGACAGGTCGCAGAGGAACCCCAGCCTTCTGCTCTGAGTCTAGGATCCTGCTGTTTCCCCCACCCTGCCCCCTGCCAGTGTTTTCCTGAGATGGACAGCAGTTCCCGGCCCTCCTTGCCAGGCTGTTCCTGGGCATGCCTGCTGTACTTCGGGAGGACAATGCCCTGAGCTGAGGACCCAATAGAGTAGAGCTCTGCCCCCTGGTAGGACAGGAGCCCCTAAGCCCCAGTGACTCCCCCCAGTGAAACATTCTCCAGTAGAGTGGCTGGGCCCCCTTCTCTGACCTCCCAGCCTGTTCTGCAGTGAAGCTAACAGAAGGAAGCGCATGGGCCTACATGTGTGGGGACTTGGTGGGCATATGAAGTAGCAGACAGCAGCTGCAGCTGCGAGCAGTCCCTGGGTCCCAATGCCAGCTCTGCGTTTACTCCCATGTCCTCTCCGAGGCGCTTCCTCACCTGGACCTGGAGATGATAATGCCTGCCTCCAGGGTGGGGAACAGCCAAGGTACACATGCACCACACATACTTGGTATAGCAAAGGACGTCTTTCATTCTAGTGCAACACCCTTAGAGATGGAGGGAGAACTCCCCAAGGCACCCAGCCATGAGGATTCAATACCATGATGCCCGGCCCCATTTAGTTGGTATATTTTTAGGAATTCAGTCTTGTTTATATTTTTCCTTTTATAATTTTTAATTATAAAATAACATGCTCATTAAAATTTTTGAAAATTTGGCATTTGCTGGAAGATCTTCACTCCCCCAAAGGCACAACTGTGAACTGCTTCTCTCAGATATTTTTCCTACGCATTCACAAAGTAGTCGACTATATATAATAAAAATCAAAGTGTTCATCTTTTCCCAGTAAATCATACTGCCTTCCTTGCTCTGGCAAATCGACCTGCTAATTTAAAGCGCTGAGAGTCAAATTTACTATCTTTTTAATACTTAAATACAGGTTTCATGGCAGAAGGATATTTGGCTAAAGATTTTCTGAAGAATTTCCAGAACCTGAGGACTCTTTATTCATTCATCAAACACCAAGTGCCTGTCCCAGCTAGGAACTGTGCTGGGGACAAATACAGCTAGGAAAAAGACAGAAGTGCATTCACCATTTGGTGAGATACTGTGCCAGGGGTGGGAAGGTGTACGAAGAGGCTCTAGAGGGCAGGATTCTGCCAAAGGTCTTGCCACAGGTCCGGAGATAGGTCTATGACAGGCACCCTGTCTGCCCACAATTCCTATGAGGCCTATGTAACTTCCTCGTAAGCCAGAAGCCATAGGAGGAAGCCAGGTGAGAACTAGGGGTTTGGTTTCACTGGAGTCACATCAAAGATCCATGCAGGCTGCATGGAGGTGAGAGTTCCAATAAGATAGCACATCTGCAGTAAGCAGCAAAAGACACAGCACCTGAATACAAGTGAGCCCATGTGGGAGGGGATGCTGGCATGTCTCCAAGACAGCAGGAAATTATTGAATTCACTGAGATCCTGCATGGAGATTGCTTAGTCCCATGGCTGGTCATGAAAAGCATTCAAACATTAGCTATGATGGTGATTATTAATTCAATGAACAAATACTGCTTGCCTCCCTACTACAAGTAATAAACCTACCGTTCTAGGTTCTGGGGAAATAGCAGTGAACAACAGACAAAATCCATGACCTTAGAGAGCTTTCCTTCTGGCTAGGGAAGACAGGCAATAACAAAATGAAAAAGGAAAATATATGTCAAGTGGTGTGACAGTCAGAACACAGGGAAGGGTGAGAGGGGCTGTTTGAAGAGGACGGTCAGGGATGTGCCCTGAGAAAGTGACACCTGCACAAAGACTTGAAGGAGATGAGGGAAAGAGCCATGCAGGTAACTGATGGAAATCAGTACAGGTTGTGGGAAAACCCAGAGATGAGGTGGGCGATGTGGGCTGACCCCGTTCCCTCGATGAAGCAGGACTTTAGGACAGACCTTAGGAGCATGGAGGAGGAGATGAAGGTTAGGGACAGATGAAGGTGGGGAACAGTCACCAGAAGGGGTGAGGCAGCCAGAATAGAGGCTTGTCTGTCCTGCAGGAGGACCCAAGGACCACGCATGCATCTCCAGGGATGCGAGGCTGGTAGGCTGCCTGTGATCCCATGCAACCCTGCACTGGCCCCCAGGCCATTCCTACGCGTGAACACCTGCCAATATTCTGCTAGCCCAGCACCTAACTTCACTGTACAAACAAGCACCAGCTATTTTTGTATTATCTGATTCCTTTGTTAAACCTTCCAGGAGTGCTGAGCCTGTGCAGTTCACGCCAGGCCGCAATCCCTCATCTGAAATGCCAGGGCCGGGCGGGTTTCGAAATTCAGACATTTCCAGATCGCAGGAGGCCATCGAGCACGTATACATTTCTCCAGTATTCTGGGCAAAAGGGCTCCGCACTGTCCGACTTTTTTTTTTTTTTTTTTTTTTTTTTTTTTTTTTTTTTTTTTTTGCCCCACGGGTACAGGGACTGCCGTCACAGAGCAGGTGGGAAGCGCATGCGCGCTGAGAGGAAGGCCTGCGGTCTTTTCAATAAGACTCCAGAAGCCCAACTGAGTAGACAGGGGGAGGAGCATGCGTAGTGGGCCTTTGAGCAGCGCAAACTAGAGACCGAAGCGGACGCACAAGTGCAGTGGGTGTTGAAATGGTCTGACGGTTAAGTTTCCCGCAAGGCGTAACCCCCGGCCACAGCGTGCAGCTGACATGCACAAGGTGTTTAGGGGTGGGGGTGCCGCGAGCAGGTCACCTGGGTGCGAGGCTGTAAGGGCGGTTCCTGTTCATCCTCCATTCCTCTCTTGCCGCAGCTCTGAGGCGGAAGAGTCACTCACTCCTTACTCCGCCGAGCTTGGGGTCCACCTCTGCAGACCGGAAGAAAGCTCTGGTCCGAGGTCACCCGGGGCCAACACCATGCATTCGCCGCCGCAGGTCGCAGCTGATGATGTCTTTGATCACCGCACTCCAGACTCACCTGAAATTCCGGCCCTGGCCCCTCGTACCCTCCCCCTCTGCCGCCTCCTTAGTGAATCTCTGCGGGTCCCTGCCTCGTTCCCCCTCGAATCTCCTCCGCCTCCCCTTCCAGCCCCTCCGCTTGGCCTCCTTTTACCCCCATTTGACGCCTCTACCTGCCACCAGGGCCTGGAAGGTACGTCCCCGGGCACTCTCTGAGAGCCGAGCCCTTGATTCTGCACAGACATCCCCACCCTCCCCCAGTTCAGGTGTCCCCACCTTTTCCCCAGAGGAGGGGCAGAATTAGGAGGGACCGAAAGGCAGACCCACCAATCCCTGTAGCCTTCTCATCGGTCCGTTCTGGCAGAGCAGGTAACTTTGAATGCGGAGAACCGGTCTCGGGTTGCCGCCAGGCGATACATGGCGGGAGGCCGGCTGGGTCTTCGGTGCTGACTCGCTCAGAGGTGAGGAACCACAGGGTCCACTGGACTAGATTAATCTTTTATTTCGCAGGGTTTCACAGCCCTGCATGGAATCCAGGAGTTGGATAACGGCGAAACCGAAACCAGACTTGCCAAAAATGCTATTTGTTGTCATAGAAACTTAGACCTGAAAATAACTTTAGGAAGTCATCTGAGCAACGTCTGTGATAGACATACACCAGAGCGGATACTGCAGTATTCTGTTGCTCATGCTTCGTTTTTGTTTGATTTTTGCTGCTTTGAACTTTTAAAAATTTCTAAAAACAATTTTAAGGGAAAATGCAATAAATAAAATATTAGCAGTTGCTAATTGCATGCTTTTCCTGCACCTACTGAGATCTTCATATGGGTTTCTACTTTACTCTGTTTATGAGTTCAATTACATCAATAGAGTTCCAGTGGTAAACCATACTTGAATTCTTTGGGTACACACAACTTGCTCATAATGCTGTAATTGTTGCTATTAACACAATTATTGGTTTCACTTGTTAATATTTTATTTAGGTAGATTTATTTTTTTAAAACAACTATTGTTTTTTTCTCCTTACAAAATTATGTGGAAAAACAATGAACTAATAAATGGTGGTGGGACAATTTATTATCTGTATGGAGAAAAATGAAAATGGATCTCTGCCTCACCTCATACATAAAAATCATTCCAGGTACATACAAACCTATTCCAAAAAGTAAACTTTAAATATTTTAGAAGAAAATAAAGAATACTTTTATAACCTCAAGATAAATAAGGATAAACCACACAGGTTTCTTATGAGGATTTATCATCATTAAAATTTAAAATATGTTGGTAGCTAAAAGCTACCAACTAGGAAGTGTCCACAAGCATATGGCCAACAAAGTATTAGTATTCAGAATATTTGAAAAATTCCTACATATCAATAAAGAAAAAATAGTTAGGGCCAGCCGAGTGGCTCAGTTGGTTAAGAGCTCGCTCAAGAGTGTGAGCTCTGAGCAACAGCGGTTCAAGTTACGCCCGAGGTGAGCTGCCACTGAGCTGCCAACAGGTGGCAGGATGGCTCAGCTAAAAAAAATAATAAAGTGGGCAAAGTCTATGAACTGGGAATTTACAGAAGAGGAAACTAAAGTGGCCAAAAAGAAAAGAAAAAAAAAAGTAATGAAAACATGCTTACCTGTATTAATAATCAGGAAATGCAAATTGAATCCACAACAGTGTATTGTTTCACACTCAACAGGCTGGCAGGTTAATTCTGGCAATACCAAAGGTGTTAAGAATCAGTTGCACTGCTCACGTATGTTTGATGAAAATTGAAATTGGTGCAGTGACTCTGGTGAGCAATTTGGGCATATCTAATAAATTAGTAAATTGCAAATACCTCACTCACAATCCAGCAATTCCTGCAGTTCCACTCCTGGGCTTCCTTTAGAGAAACTCTTAATCCCATGTTCAAGAATATACAAAAACACACCTTATGTCTTATATTGAGTAAGGATATATACATACGTATTATAGTAAATCCTTGAGTGTGTGCATGGGATGATAAATACAAAATTCAGAACTGGGTGTAACATTGTGAGTTCAGGAACTGGCCAGGTTGCACCCTGCCCAGGACCCCTGCTATAATCATCCCCATTGTCCCCATTGAGTCTCCTCGAAATGTCACCTGGACACTGCTGGATCAGCCCCCCTGGTGCGTGGGTTCCCCAGACATTAATTATTGTCCTTAAGCCAGAAAGCTTGAGGTTTCTCCTTGGCAAACATTAACTGGGAGTTTAACCTTGGGTATGTGAAAATCATGGTTGTATTTGTGGGCCCAGTGCTGATTGCTAATCTTCTCAGTCTACACGTGAAGGCTTCAGCCTCTTTTCCAAAGGAGTCCCTGAGACTCCATATGAAAGCATGTGCCCGTGTTAACCTGCCCGCAACACCCCTGCTGGAAGTCGGAGCTGGTCTTTATCAGATCCCAAGGCCAGCCCACAGACCCTGCAGGATGGGGGCCTATGTCCGCCTAGCCCCAACAGCGTCACTAAACCACACGTGAGTTGGAGTGTCGAAAGAACACCCCTGACTCTTCCAGCCCCGGGCTTCCCTCGTTTCATTCTCATCTAGTCTCGGTTTCTTGGGTGAGAAGGCGGTGGCGGCGGACTAGGGAGGAAGGGTGACCTGCTCACAGCGACCAGCTGCTCAGGGACTGCACAGCCTGTGGCCAGACCTGGGTAGCAATATCCCTCCCTCGCCGTGGGAGCCCACACCCCCTTGCTCCTTCCTACACACTAGGGCGTCTCACTCTGCAGATGAGGAAACTGAGGCCCAGAGCAGCGGGGATCTGCCCCTGGCACTCAGCAGGAAGCAGGGAGAAGCGCGGATTACACTAAAAAATAATATAGCAAAGCGGCTGGCGCTGACTCCCACCGAGTCTGCTCCTCCAACCCCACCCTGGGCCAACCAACTCTTCTCACTATCCCCGTAGAGGCGGCAGGGCCGCCTCCCCGACTCGGGCCTGTCGCAGAAAATGCCTCTGCCGTTACTCGGGCCAGGGAACCCGGGACGGCGAGAGGGGCGTCCCAGGGATTCGGCCTCCAGATCCTCGGGGGTCCCAGTCAGCCCGCCCGGCGCCCCAGGCACTGCCCCAGCGGGTTTCCGGGAATTTGCCTGACGTCGCCGTGACCGGCTCCGGCCGCGAGGGGGCGACATAGCCCGGGATATGAAGGATTCTGTACCGTTGAGCACTGCCTTCCGCCTCAGGGTGCTCCGCTGGGTCAGGGGAACAAAAAGGCCTGCGCCAGTGCTGCCCCAGGTGCAGTGGTATTTCACGAGAGTGCTGCCCCCGCAGACTCTGAACACCCGAGTACTGACCCGTGTCCCCGGGCCCAGGTGCCCCATGCTCCACCCGCCCCAGGGTGATTTCACTTCCCCTGTCTAGCACAGCCAGGTGGGTGGGGGCTTTGGGCAGGAGCTGGGAGGTTTGGCGCCCAGACCCACCATGCCTCTGCCACGCTGTGTGTCTCCCCTCCTCCTCCACAAGGAGTGGGACAGGGGTCTGGGCAGGTGCTTTCCCCCTGGTGCCAAGGATCAGGCAGGAAGCCCAAGGACCCTGGCCTCTCTCCTCCAGGCTCAGCCCAGCAGCAGGCCCATCCATCACTGGAGCGAGTGATAGGTGGGCCCCTACCGCAGACTGAGGTACCTAGCACTTGACAGCCAGTAGGCTGGGCCACTCTGGGCCCGCCTCTCTGCCTCTCTGAGCCTCAGTTTCCTCATATGTCAGGTGTGGTTTGGAGGAAGCAGTGCAGAGTGGGAGCAGCCAGTTGCTCCATGTGATGCAAGGCTGCTCAAGGGCCCCTCCTCCTTGTAGCCTTGTTCCTCCCGTTTGGACTAGCATCTCTGCCCCACACCAGGATCCTTATGAAAGGGCATCCGGGTGGAAGTCAGGAGGCCTGCTCATCTTGGGCACCGGGCTGCCAGGGTGGGCAGTGAGCCACTACCAAGCACAGCAGGCTGGCCATAGGCCAAAGGGGCTCCTGCAGTTCTACCAGTTATGTCCTCTCTCCAAGCCTCCATTTGCTCACCTGTAAAGTGGGGACATCATAACAGCTGACCTGCCCCTGCTGCAGGTGCTGTGCCCTCAGGCCCCTGTGTGTGTCTGTTGGCCTTCCCTGCATTGGACTTCCTGAGGGGAGACACCAGCCCTCTCTTGATCCCCAGACAGACCCTACCTTTGGGTGGATGAACATGGGGGGCTGCAGCCTAGCTGGACATCCCCAGCCGGGACAGGGGTACAGAGACAAAGCCCTGGGGCAGCTCCCGCAGGCTCCACCTCAAATTCTACTTTGCCCCCCATCCTCAGAGCTGGCATTCACTCCAGTTTTGGGTCAAATTTCCAACTTAATGATTCAAAAGAAAGAAAAGAATCCCAACCTACAACCAGCTGAGGCGACCCCTCCTGACTGCCCTTTGATATTTGAGGACTGAACAATGGGGCTGATTGCAGATAGGAGACTTGAAGCCATCTTAATTAGAAGGAAAGAATGTCCTCATGGTTGGCTGTTCTAAAAATACAGTTGCACCCACATCTGGAGAGGAAGGGTGGGAGGTGTGGGGAGGTGACTGTTAGGCCAGAGTCTGAAGCCCTGATGCATGCATTCCATGGTGGGGGGAGGCCCCTCCCAGCAGGGCCCGTGGAAGGGGAGAGGGGAAGACAAGCGTCCAGTCCCCTGTGGCTGGGCCACCTGGCGCAGCTTTGGGATGGAGTTGAACGGGCAGCTGATCCCTTTCTGGGTCCATCCTCATTCCTTTCCCAGGCCCTCCCCACACCCCAGCCTCAGTTTCCTCAGCTCTGCAGAGGAGACACACAGGGGCCTGGTGAATGCATGCTGGTTCTTTTATCAACTCTTGCCTGACCTGGGCACAGCAGGCATCCAGCCACAGACTTCTGACCAGGGAGGGAATTTTTTTCTGGATTTTATGATTTGGGGTGGTATTTGTCAGCTTTTATGAACTTGTTTTGTTTGCATTCTCATTCTAAGCAAATATTCATTTTTGTACCTAATTTTGCATTTATAATTTTGCATTTGTTTTCTTAAAGAGGCCCCAATACCTCATGAAAGTGAAGGGCATACCAGGACTTGGAGAATGTCTTGAACAAAATGTGGAGGCAGGAATTCTGGTGGTATCACCAGGGGAGGGCAAGAATGCTTGGGTTCTTGTCCTGGTCCACTCATATGAGCTTCCTGTCCCAGTGGCTGGGCAAGTGCACCTGGTGTGGGGAGTACCCCCCACCCCCCCGGATGTGTGTGAACAGGGCCTGGGCTGCTTGGCGGAGATGTCGGTGGTGTATGCCAGGTGGGAGGTGAGTGAACTCTGGGCTTTCACGGCTTCTTCATCCTCCTGCCCAGAGCTCTGAGTCACTAGTCTTGGGCAGGGGCTCCCAGAGTGGTGAGCCCTGTCATTCCAGGTCCCTGCCAGGCCACAGAACAGAACTGCCTGATCTGGCCAGCAGGTGATGAGCAGGAAGACTATAGGACAGTGTGGCCTCAGGTTCCACACATGTCCCCTAGGGCCACACAGCCCAGACCCCAGTGTGCAGCCTCCCAGGTGTGCAGACAGGCACCACAGACAGTCTTTTCACTGTGTCTCACAGTTCTACT